AAGTACCATAAAAGTACACAGCTAGGGAGAGAGAGCAAAGTTCTCTCTTCTTTGGGCAAACAGGTCTATCCAAGGACATGGCACTGCTGACTTGTCCTACTACACTGTATGGTTGCCTCAGGCTTGACTTGATGGGAGCCACCCGTGAGCATAAAAGATAAATTTATTCCATGTGACTTTTCAGACAGTAGCTTCTCTGCTGTTCCCACCCATGGATACCAGTGACCATAGAGGACCTCTGTGAAACCATGGTGGAATGGCCCATTCAAGAATGACCACCCAGAGGCTAACAACATTTGGTTGCCAACATATAGGTCTGGATCCTGGTGTTCCAACATCTTGGAGGGTTCTGAGGATTTCTGTAATTGGCTTAATGCTGGTTAGGTTTAAGATGTCTTTGATCATTTTCTTATCATCTGCGTCTCATTTTAACGGGAAAAGTTTGCCTTGTAAAAGATCAAATGAGTTGCTTTATTTTTTTCCTTCAGATTCAGTGTTCTGGGAAAGGCTGGTAATTTATGTAAGCTTAAGCTCTAAAAATGAAATTGTGGAAACAACGATACACGAGGACAACACTGACTTGTTATGACGACTGGAATTCCACTATCCAGTTGCCATAACAACTTGATGCAATCTTTAAATATAGAATCATGTGTTACCCCGTAAGACCCGTACTAATTGCTATTAGGGAACAAAGAAACAAGCTGGTTTTGCTTCCTCTAATGCAGTCACCCGTGGGCCAAAATGTCAAAAAGGATGTCAGCATTATAGTAACGTAAGTGCCATTAGACACAGTTATACAGTAAGGTCAAGAGACATCTTCTAGCGGGTTAAGTTACTGTGCTCCATTCAGAGACAAAGTGTTTGGGTTCCAAATAGTAGTTTAACACAATGAAACGCTTTGGCTACGTCTAGACTGGCATGATTTTCCACAAATGCTTTTAATGGAAAAGTTTTTCCGTTAAAAGCATTTGTGGAAAAGAGCGTCTAGATTGGCACGAATGCTTTTCCGCAAAAGCACTTTTTGCGGAAAAGCGTCCGTGCCAATCTAGACGTGGTTTTGCGCAAGAAAGCCCCAATCTCCATTTTCACGATCGGGGCTTTTTTGCGCAAAACAATACCGCGTTGTCTACACTGGCCCTCTTGCGCAAATGTTTTTGCGCAAGAGGGCTTTTGCCCGAACGGGAGCAGCATAGTATTTCCGCAAGAACACTGACAATCTTACATGTGATTGTCAGTGTTCTTGCGGAAATTCAAGCAGCCAGTGTAGACAGCTGGCAAGTTTTTCTTGCCAGTCTAGACGCAGCCTTTGAGTGATTGGTTTAAAAGATGAAAGGTTCTCAGACAAGACTGAAAAAAATTGAACTAATTTTTCCCATCATGTCACCGCTTCTTTCTCAACAGCAATAGCAGCTCCGTATCAACATCCCCTCTGTTTTTTTCCATCTCTCTGAAGAATACATTTTATTATGTGCTCTGAGACATGTACCGAGGTGCACCACCAGTAGAAACACATGCTGCCAACTGTGGGTGCTCTGCTAATCAGCTGGGCAACATTTGAATCTCTCTTGGGTTGACTGCCCAAGTGCTCAGCTTAAACTCTGTAGTGTAGACATACCTCTCTCCCTATCTGTCCCTTTGCCAGGTTGCATAGTTTTTAATGCTGTAGCGTACAGTGGGAAGTGAGTCACAGTTGGGGGTGCACAGAAAAACCTTGACAGCATGGTGCCATTTGAAGTTGGCTTATTCCATGCAAAGGTATGCAGGGCCCTGATACCATTTTTCCACTGAAAGATTCATTGGGGAAAAAAAACAAAAAAAAAACAAGGGAACTAATTTGTTTGTGTGGTAGAGCGACCTGCTCCCCAATCCTGCACTTCAGTCACATGTGAGGGATGCAGTGAATTCAGACTATGTCTAGACTGCAGGCTTCTTTCAGAAGAAGCTTTTCCGGAAGAGAGCAAAAGCACATTGAAAAAGCCATCTGCTTTTTCGAAAGATAGTGTCCACACTGAATGGACACTATCTTGCATGTAAGCTGTGATTACTATGGACGGAGTGGCCACGAGGGCACCTGTGCTTTTTCCTCTTTCCTCTTTTTTCAAAAGAGTTTCTTCTTCTTCCCCGTCCACACACACCTTTTTCCAAAAGAGCTCTTTCGGAAAAAGGGCTCTTCCTCATAGAATAAGGATTACCAATGTCAGAGAAACCCCTCTGTTCTTTCGATTTTCTTTCGAAAGAATGCAATTGCAGTGTGGATGTAACTCAAGTTTTTTCGAAAGAACTCTGTAGTGTAGACATACCTCTCTCCCTAGCATAGTCTCGCTCTCTAAGGCAGGCCCTATAGCTTAGAGTTAAGGTGCATCCATAGTGCAGGGTGAGGAAAACTTGCACAATTGTTGCATGTGCAGCTCCTGTTTTGTGGATAAACTCAGGACTTCAGTCTCCAGGGCTGTCAGTTCATCACTTTCCACCAGCACAGAATTCAAGCTGTTAGTGGCTTTTCTGTCTATTCCCATCAGTCTGGGGGAATTTATAGCTTCCTCTTTCTCCTGGTGTGAAATGTGTTTCTGCATTTATGATGTCGTGTTGCTGAGACACTTCCCAGGCTACAAAAACTTTTTTTGTTCCTTTATACTTGTCATGGACATGCAGGCCTGCCAAAGGGGGGTGGGGTGGGGATGGGAGGCAACAATATAAAAGGGCCCAGAGCTCCTGGCCTCCGCTACTGCACCAGCAGCGATGGCTGGAACCCTGGGCCCTTTAAATCACTGCCGGAGTGTTGCGTGGTATGCTCTGGGCAGCACTGAGGGCTGCCTAGCCTGAGGCCTGCCCCTTCTGCCAAGGCCTCTCTTCCCCCTTCTCCATCCAGCCTTGCTCAGGGGCCCAGAAAGGCTATCGGCCCTGCTGAGCACATGACCAGCTGGGCCTATCGGAGAAAGCCATAGAGGTAACCAGGCCTGGAGCTTAGAATGGGGCTGAGCTAGAGTCTAGGTCTAGGATCACAGAATGCCTGGGCCTTTAACTGAGATCGGAGCTGAGGCTCAGAACCAGGCTTCAGAAGCTGAATGCCAGAGCCAATGGATGAGCTGGAGAGTTGGTGAGAAAGCAGAGCTGGGGTGACAAGGGTGTGGGTGGAGGTGGGCACAGGGGCAGGCAGAGAAATAGCAGATGCAGGAAGCAGAACCAAGCCAGGTGCAGGGAGGGAACATGTTGAGCATCCAACCAGCATGGCTATTGCTGGAGTAAACAGCGGCTAGTTCCCCCTCTCCACCAATCAGGAAGTAAAGTCAGTCTCTCCCCTCTCCTCCCCCTTAAGATCTCTGTGTCCAGTGTGTTGCTAAGAGACTGTGCTTGCTGCAGCTGGCTCCCTAACAATATTTGATCATTCTGTAAGTTCCTACATGGGGAAGAGATTTCTGATAGCAAACAGCTCTTTAATTGAGCAAAAGAAGGCATAATTAGATTAAGCATAATGAGATCTTCCTGAGGCATGACAAATTCAGACAAGAAACGAGACACAGATTTTTAACAGAGGTTGATTAGTCACTGGAATGACTATCTAGGGGTTTGGTGGATCTTCCATCATTCAAAGTCTTTAAAATCCCCACTGGGCATCTTGCTGAAAGACATACTATAGCCCATGAGCTATGGCACCGATCATCCACTGGTGTAAATAATCATAGCTCCATTAGCTTTACTGGAGCTGTGACAGCTTATAGGTGAGGGTCTGTCTCATGGGCCCTAGGCAAGAATTATCTTACTGTGGGGGGAGTGTCCTATGGCCTGTAGTATACAGGTCATCTGCAAAGATTATCATAATGGCCTCTTCCGGCCTTGAAATATAAGAATTAGGGATGTAAGTGACTAATCGACTAGTCGACTATCTGATAAGCAAAAGCTTATTGGATAGTCGACATATTAGTCGACTAGTTGCTTCCCCCCCTTGCTGCCAGTATCACAAAGAGGCAGCAAGGAGGGGAACGAGGAGGATGCTGGGGGGAGCCAGCATAAAAGTCAGTTCCTCCCAGCTCCAGCTCCGTGGGACGGGGCAGGGGCACAGTGGTGGCGCTTCCTCTTTGAAATACACAAGAGCCCCAGCAGGAGCCTGGGGCCAGCGGGATCCCTCAGTGACCCCAGGCTCCATGTGAGCACCTCTTCTTTGAAATCTACAGCGGCGGCTCTTATGCATTTCAAAGAGGAAGTGCCGCATGGAGCCTAGGGCCAGCAGGGGACTCTGACTCACTTTCCCCACTGGCCCCAGGCTCCACGCAACATTTCAATCTTTGAAATGCACAAAAGTATTAGTAAAGTTCTCCTGTGCAATTAAACGAATAATTATGCTTGAGAAACTATGCTGGGAGTCTTGTCTATTTCAAAGGCGGAACGCCACACTAGTGCTTATTGACTAATCGAATAGTCGATAGAAATCCCATCAACTATTCAATTAGTTTATTAATCGATATTTAACATCCCTAATAAGAATCAGTGTTTGCTGGAGTTACATAGTAGTCCTGCCAGAGAAAACATGCTACAGGTTGCAATGCTATCCAAGAGTACTGCAAGGGAAAACTGAACAAAGAAGAGCTCTGACTCTATTGGCTATCATAGGGAGAGGGGGCAGCAAAGCTTGGAGGAGCGAAACAGCCCGACCAACTTATCTTACTTAGTGCTGCAAACACTTCTGTGGCAGAGACACTGCTCTTGTAATCGCTGGGAAATGAAGTGCTAGAAAGGTGTGATTCCAGAGACGTTGCTGCACACTGTGAAAGCCTAGAGACCAAATGTGGGAAAGGATCATCACAGCATGTCTGGCACGTTTTGTAATGCTGTTCCCGCGTCAGGTGTCAGTACATTGATTCTGCAGAGCAATGCCTGCCTCCAGTTGGGTAGCTTAGCTAGGCTGGGTCCTGGCAGCTCCCTATTGCTTCTTATGAACCAATGTTTTCCCATTCGAGTTTCCAGAACATGGCCTCAGAATATTGGCATTGTTTCTGCAGATACAAGGAGGCCAAGACTCATGCTACTCCTTGCTAGGGAAGCGGTCCCCTGCAACCGTTTTCTGACTGAAGTGCACTTCCCTCCAAGATCACCCTGAACCCTGCTGGGTGCCAAGTGAGAGAGACAAGCTGATGTCAGAGTCCAGTCCACTGCCCCGCCATGGAGCCAGAGTGAAAAATGCCATTCGTGTTACTGATGCACACTGGGGAGCCTCACAGAATAGTTCCTCTGTCAAGTATGGACACCACAGAGTTGTTCCAATCAGTACCGTTTGTTTGCTTGCTCTGAGGAGAGTTAGCACTAAGTAAAGTTCTCCCGTGCAGTTAAATGCTTGAGAAAGACTCCCTTGATTCCCAGCAGGGCTGCCTCACACCTTTCCTTCTGCGGGATGTAGGTATATGTGCTAGAGTACACGTCAATGTGGGCACACAGTGGAGCCGACAGCCTCTGCAGCCCCCTGGACAAGGTGGCGAGGTAGGGCTTCCAGAAGGGGTGGGGCCAAAAGCAGCCAGTCTTCAGCACTGCCCAAAACATGGCACTCCCCCTCCTAGCCCTTACCACGGCCCGGAGCATGCTGCCACTGCTACTACAGCAACAACGGCAGCCAGAGAACCAGGACTCTTTGAATCACCAGGCCCCAGGGCAATTGTCCCCTTTGCCCCCATCCATTGGCGGGCCTATGGGCACATATCACTCTTGCCATGTTACACATGGAGAAAAGAGATAAAGAGATGAAGTGATTTGCCCGAGGTCACATAGTCACTAGCAGAGCGAAAAGTAGAACCCACATCTTCTCATTCCTGGAGTGGTGCCCTCAACGCTGGACCAAGCTGCCTTCCCTTAATGATTTTTCAGAATTTGTCAATACAAATGCACAAAATTAAGAGTCGTAGGCTAGTCCATTCTCCTCTACCCTTGAATGTATCAGGTATCCAGGGTCAATTCCCACAGTCTCTATTTGGGGAAACCCCCATTGAAGGGAATAGGTTTGAGCCATATGAGCAATTCTAGGACAATCAGCTGGTGCCCTAATAGGTGAGAAAGATCAGCCACAATGGTGGGTTTTCCAGTTGGATGATTATAGGCCCTTTAACCATTATACTGGAATACGCGGATATGGAGAATTCCAAGCAGGAACAATAGACCAGTGAATGATATGTTTGCATTACTTTGCATGACTGGAGGTTTCCACATGTGAGTCACCCAGATGAAAGCACGCAGTCACCATGGTTGTCTGCTCTGCAGGCAGGCAAGGTTTAGAGAAGGACAGATGTTTCCATGATTTCAAAGGAGAGCACTGGGAAATGACTGGGTTTGTTGCCAGCTGGGTGGGATTATTGAAAACTCCCCATTTCAAAGCCAGTATGGAAGAAACTCTTGATTGTGTCTGCTATGGTGGATCACCCTGCACCCACAATTCAGGTCTCCACGTACTCCACCATGAGCCTTTGTCCATTGTCTCTATGAGGAGAGAAACTTGTGCCTCTTCCAAGCCTCATTTTGTGCCATTCCCAGTGGAACTTGGAACTGCTGGGTTGGAGGTTTCACACTCAGAAGACAGAGGTTCCCCCAGCACTCATGATAGTCAGCGATGGTTCTCTTTCACATTAACAACCTCTTACAAGTTACAGTAGAAGATGAATGATGTATAGCTTATTTTGAAAATGAAGAAAACCGTTTCCCCTCTTGCTCCTACAACATACCCAATTATTGAATGTCGCACTGCAGCAGGGCAGGGGACACACACTTCGAAGGTTAGAGGTTGGTAACCTCCAGTCCTGGGGGAATTCTGCAATTTTACTGTGGCTCCAACTGTAACAGTTGCAGAATTCCTCTAGGACTAAACCTCCCATCTCCAAACCCATGCTGGTGTTCTTTGCTCTGTTCTCCCTCTCCCAGTCTATACCACGTTCGTTAGAAGACAACTGTCCTCTCATCTCCCTAAAGTCTAGTTAGGTGGCCTGAGATAGGGAAATCCATATCTGTACTTTCCTCGGGACATCTTTTTTTGGAAAGCACGTCTCATCATAGTCTCCCCTACTTCTCAGAATCCATGAGGAGTCCTGTGGCACCTTAAAGACTAACTGATTTATTTGGGTGTCAGCTTTTGTAGACAAAACCCACTTTGTCAGATGCATCTGGTAGTCTTCAAGGTGCCTGTCACAGGGCAAACCCACCACCATGGTGCCTCCTGCTGGTAGCACAGGGAATTAGCTCTTATCTGCCCACTGGACGCCTCCCTCTGGCTGGTATTTCTTTGTGTCCTCACTCCATGCTCCACTTCTGGACCCGCATCACCCCCGGACCACAGCATCCTCTTCAGGACACTGCCCTCTGGCAGTGCCCACTACGGTTGTCTCCCACCCCCTTCTGAGGGGTAGGTGTTTATCACCAGTCTGTGTCTCTGCACTCTGAGGTTCTCCCCTCCCAGGGAACCCCAAATTCCTCTATACCCACCTTGCCTCAGTGACCCATTACCAGTCTTCATCTAGTCCCTGTTACAGGGGCAAACTGCAGTCTGAAATGGCCACCCATCATTGGCAAGGGAGTGTGGACCTCTTTCTAGCCTGACTCTCTCTCTACAGCCCTACTACACTCAGGCCTTGCCTCAGGCCTGCAATCTGGGAGTGGAGCCAAACCAGAGCTTCCCCAGTCTTGCTCTGCCTCAGGAAGCCTCCATCTTCCCTGGCAGCCAGGTCCTTCCTAGGGTTGCCAAATGGTTTCAACAGATATACCAGACACACTTGACATTACATCACAATCTACATTACATCTTATTTAGAAAATACCGGACACTTATATTTTCTCATTTATATTTTCCTCAATTTATTTTCTGAACAGAAAGCTCAAATACTGGACTGTCCAGTTCAAATCAGGACATCTGGCAACCCTCGTCCTTCCTGTTGCCCTGCTAGAGCAAGAGTGTCTCTGTCTTCTCCTCACTCCCAGAGCTCTTATTTATCCAGCCCCCAGCTGGGCCCTAATGGGCAGTATCTGCCTGAGCAGCAGGCTTTGCTCTCAGCCCTCTCCCAGGGCTGGATTTTACCCTTAAAGGCAGCTGCTCTGTCACAGTGCCACAGGACTCCTTGTTGTTTTTATTGCTACAGACTAACATGGTTACCCCTCTGCTACTTCTCAGAGTATCTTCCAATTGGTGTATAACAAGCTTAGTGTTTTCCTCCACAAGAGCATTTCAGGTGATCTCAGAATACCAATGGAGCGTCGCTCTCCACCCGATTACCTTCTTTAATGCCAATCTGCCTACAGGTTTCGGTGGACTGGTCTGGATTCTTCTGGATCCTGCCACCCACTCAGCAGGGTGTATCTTCTTTATTTTTTCCTCTGAATTTATTTGGCAGTGCCTCCACCCCCCTCACTCCTTCCTGGCAGGGTCACCAGGGCAGTTTGGGAGGAAAATTCTAACCACAGGGTAATCCCCATTTACTTGCCAGATAGTTGGAGACTTCAAAAAATAACACAAACACATACAATATATTCAACACAATAATTATATTAAACAGGAAACAATTATAACGTAACAGGGTAAAACACTATTTTTAAGTTCACCGGTGCCCACGCTGCTAATACCTGTGACTTTTCCCAGTCATGAGACTCGATGTAGCAAATGTAAGATTAGTGTCCTGTTGGTACGTGTACTTTGTTGGGGCCCTTGATGACCTACGACCACAAAATTCTCCTCTGCAGTGGTTTAGCAGTGTGGCTGACTGGGTTCAGTACAGCCCAAAGGACTCACAAGCGGGAGAAAGTGGTAAATCCCTCCACAGGTTTAATATGCAGCAGGTTATAAAATCCCCAGACCCTTGCTTCCTGGCTTGAGGACACAGTTCAGGGAGTAGGGGGTCCCCAAAACAAATTCCCTGACTAACTAAAAGATGGTGCACTCACAAACTCCATGAATGATCCTCCGGCTCAGAGATGACTCTGGACTCCTCAGTCACTGCAGAGGGGCTGATCTCTGCTAGCAGGGATCCTATTCAGGCAGGAATCAGGCTGCTTTGGTGCAGGGCTTAAGGTGCAGATTACACAACTGTACTAACATCCAAACTGTCGTCTCCCGGCCCAGCGCCCAGACACACACACAGCAGGCAGAAGCCCTGAACTAGCAGACAGAGCAGAGCTGACCATGTGGTGATTGGTCTCACCTCGGGAGCTGGAGAGCCAACTCAGCCTGGCTGGGGAAGTTTTCCAGCAAACTCTACAAACTGGGAATCAACAGTGGAGAAATAAAACCCAGCTGAGGGATCTTGCTTTCAGGACTCTGGAGGCTAGTTCTCAGGGGGATACCCTGCATGCAGGCCTGGGGCTTACTAGGTCCCACACACGCAGGCCTGGGCCTTACCAGCTTCCCACACAGCCAGTCCTTCCCTTGCCCTGGCTGGCTCCAGACTGACTCAGAAAAAACAATGGCCGTTCCCCTTTCCTGAACTCCCTGGGAGGGGCAGCTCACTCCCTATTCGTTGCCAGGCAGACTCTGAGTTTGCCTTGGCTCCCCCTCCCTACCAGGGACAGTGTGCCTCTCCCTGAGCTGCTGGCAGACAGAACCCCAGGAATCTAGGTAATCTCCCTGGGGGTTACACCAATATACAGCACGTGGTTGTTTCTGTGTTCAGAAATAGCCATCTAGTCCTGTGGGACAGAGAATAACTGGGTGAGGGACATGTGTTGTTTTTTTTCAGAAATTTAAATACGACAGATTCCTGACCGCAGACAACACAGAGAAAAGGGATTTCTATAAAGGCGGGGAAAGGCTCAAGTATTACAACATGCCATGGGGAGCAGGAATTAACACATGTATTGGGAAGTACCACGCAGTCAATAGCATCAAACAGTAAGTAAATGCAGAGCGTCTATGATACTTAATTATTCTGGCCACTTGTAATTTTAATATTAGGGATAAGAACCTTCTTGTGGAGTTACATGAACCTCTAATGCCTCTGCCATATACTTTGTATGAACACAATACAGGCTGAGATCATTTGTAAACACTGTATCTACTCCTCCATCCATATAAACTCTTTTGGAAAACCATCTGTATTTATTTTTCGAGTATGTATTTTTAACACCATAGATTACAAATCTCCAAATAACTTGTGAATTAGTTATTTATGCTGCATTGTGTACTGTGGTGGTAAAGTGGAAATGCTTCCTGGCCCCTCGCTGTACTGTAACTTCATACATATGCTGCACACAAAAAAACTAGATCAAAAGAATATTAAGACTGTAAAGTCAAAGTTATATTATGGATGCAAAACTTAGGAAATTCCAGAATTAAGTTTTCCATTGCAATCTACATTGGGCCCCATTGCATGCATGCATTCTGATAAATCTTTAATGCTATAATCACATAATATTTTGTCAATTGCACTTCTTCAAGTTGTACAATGTATTTTCCCTAATGTTATTCATGGAAATGAGTAAACCATTTTTTCTGAAACTTTCCAAAATAATTCAGCCCGTGGCAGGCAGCTGGCATGGAAAATTCCCGCCCAACTGGTTGAAGTATGGCAAAGTCATAAACTGAAAACTGGGTGTTAATAATGGGAAGTATCCAGCAACCTTAACTAGAGGAAGAACTACCAGTTACCTCTTTATTTACCTTCTAAGCATAAAAACTAGTGGATTGTCAGTCTCATATATGTCACTAAGCTGCTCATTTTATCATTTTAGGTTTGTTTTCATCTTGTTAACCAATTTTGACTTGGAACTAAAAGATCCTGAAGAAAGAATCCCAGGATTTGACAAGGGACGATATGGCTTCGGAATGTTACAGCCAGAGCATGACATCATCATTCGATATAAGCTGAAAGACTAGTACAATAGCAATGGCTTCCCTTCCGCCATCCAGCTGGCTGGTTCTCAATCCAAGCAGTATATTTTGGCTTTATTAATTACTCCATTGGGCTGGGGTAATGGTAGCAGTTAGAAAAAACATTACCAAAATAAAAGTCGCCATTGTGTTGGCTTTGCACCTGCTAGCCTGCAGCATTAATGCTATTTGACTGTACAGATTGGGCCTCCCTGATCTGGCACCCTTGGGACACGAGGGAGTTTGCTGGGCCAGGAGAGGTCAATTCTGGCCCCTATGCTAATGGACTCCAAGCTCTCCTGGGCTTCAGCAGCAGAGCTGACCAGGCTCTCCTCCTAGCTGCTGGGCTCTGCTGCATGCCTTGGTCCCCAGGCCAGCCCCGTTGCTGGCCCAGCTCTGCTGCTGGCCCCAGTGGCCAGCCCCATCTCTTCTGCCAACCCTGGCTCCACTGCCAGTCCTGGCTCCATTCCCAGCCCCAGCTTCTGACCCCGGCTTGGCTGCTGGCCTGGCTCTGGCTCTGGCTTTGGCTTCACTGCCAGCCCTGGTCCTGGCCCCAGCTGCTGGTCCCGGTTCTGGCCTTAGGCCCACCGCCAGTCTCCGTTCAGCCACCAACCCTGGCCACTGGTCCGCAGTCATCAGACTCCCAGCCAACAGGGCTCTCTGGTCCAGAGGCTCTCTGGTCCAGCAACATTCATGATCCTGTCAGACCATGGATGTTGCTGGACCAGAGAGTCCTGGATTAGAGAGGTTCAACCTGCAGTTAATAAGGGAGCGTCAACACGCCATACAGTCATTTTTAATAACTAACCACTAGATACAATCAAAGCGAACTGTTTGTCATGGAAGCACAACGCAAAGGAGAATGTAGCTGTCATAAGCTATAATGTATAACTCTCAAATCAGTTTTGCACATGCATGGAATTCCAAGGGTTGGTCTTCCTGACGATGGGCATGAGAGAGCTTTGGCAAGGAAGATACTCTTGAGTGAGGCAGCATCATTAAGCATAAGTACGGCCTAACCAAAGTCACAGTCCATTTTCGTCAATTTCACGGGCGTAGTATTTTTAAAATAGTAAATTTCCTGATTTCAGCTATTTAAATCTGAAACTTCATGATGTTATTATTATGGGAGCCCTGATCAGGAATGGAGTGGGGGGTCACAAGGTTATTGTGTGTGCAGGGGATTTCAGTATTACTACCCTGTGCTCAGAGCTGTCCTAACCATAGGATGGCTCAGGGCAGCTGCCCCAGACCCTGCGCTTTGGGGGACCCGATGGTGGCTGCCTCAACTGTCTTATGGATGGGGCTATCCCCCATGTTAGATGTGAGGCACAGGGAGGCCTGAGGGTGCATCGAATCACAGGGTTGGAAGAGACCTCAGGAAGTCATTGAGTCCAACCCCCTGCTAAAAGCAGGATCACCTTGGGGGCCTGGCATAAGGTTGCAGGGGTCAACCCCCCCCTGCACTCACAGCAGTGGTGGGAAGCAAAGCAACCCAGTAGTCTGCTTTGCCACCATCTACCAGCTGAATCATTCTATTTCACCCACTCCACCACCCCAATGGTTTGTCCTGGGCTTCCTAGAGAGGACCCTGACTGTGCTGCTGCTAGTGGCTGCGTCGTCTTCAGAGCTGGGCAGCTGGAGAGCAATGGCTGCTGGCCACAATCCCTGCTCTGAGGGCGGAGCCACTGCCAGCAGCAGCACGGAAGTAATGATGGCCTGGTATGGGGCAAAGCTGGGCTCTCACTCAGCAGCCACCACTCGCCAGCCTTCTAGGTCTGAAGGCAGCAATGCAGGGGTCGGAGTGGCATGATACTTCTGTGCTGCTACTGGCTGGGGGGGGGGGGGTGCTCTCTGAAGGCAGTGCAGAAGAAAGGGGGGTTGCTAACAGTCTGGCGGTCTAGTGGCGTCAGGCAGGCACTC